ATATTCTGTTCTTTGTGTGGGAAATGTTTGCGTTTTGGCGCTGAATCATGATACTTAACGCAGCGCCTGTTCTGTCAGCTATTGGATTTGTTGTTACTCGGTTGTTATGGCAACGGATCTGCGTGTAAAGCATACATTCGGTCCAAACTAATTTTTCCAAGAAAATGAAAGAAGATAAACTAGGTGAGTTCCGGAGACAGTTTGAATTGTGTTAAATGTTAATAACACATTTAACACAAACTTGTGGAACTTTGCAAACTTCCGCAAAGTGTAACAGTCGTAATTGTGTAGTATCTCTTTAAGACACTCTAGTATATCTAATGACGTCACGTGTATGCGCCACTGCTTCTCTGTGGAGAGCGTGGGAGAAACGTGCTACATCCCAGCCAGCATGCCTAGGTGGGCCCCATGTGGGGGGAAAAGAGGGCTGATATATGGGTCCCATATGGGTTTGTCCGCGGGTTCCACGATGGCCCCTCATGGGATTGCCCATTTGGGCTCTAAATGGACAAACCCATATGGGACCCATATATCAGCCCTCCTTTCCCCCCACATGGGGCCCACCTAGGCATGCTGGCTGGGATACAGTAGGATACCTGGACTGGACACGTAGCTCTCTTAATGTTTAGTGACGTTACGGACTCTGCTTATTTCATGTATGAATGTATAGCAGCCGTTCAACCGGGCTTGTAAGGTTGTTGAAGAGCATTTTATTAAAGGACGACACTGTGGAGTTCTCAGTACCAGTGTGGTTGTGAGTTACTAACCGTCCAGTCGAGTTTACCGCCTCCTCTCCTCCACACAACCCAAACCGTTACAAAAGGCTACCGGAATAGGGACTTTGCGTGGCGCAGTAGTTGGCGCAGCGCGGTGCCCCGCATATAAACTTTAGACCGTCATAGTTCGGAATCTGACTCTCGTCCTCTGGTTCGCTTGTCTCTCTCTGCAACTTTTCTGTTGGATTGTTGTCATAAAGGCAAATAGTGGCGAAAACCTTTTTTTAAAGAAAAAGACTACCGGAGTAATGTGCAACAATGCGGTATGATGTCGGGCTTTTCCTCCATCCAACTGATCAGCGCCACTTTGCTGTTGAAGCTTCTAACCTGGCAGCTTTACGCTCTTATAAAAATACTATTAGACAACATCTGGAAACGAAGTTAAAGCTTCAACCTGAGGATCTCTGCCGCAGTCAGCATGTTGGTTCATCCTGCAAAAAGAGCCGCTGCTGAGTCAGCGGACCGTCCTGCTGCGCATCGGATGGAGCAGCAGCAGGAGGCAGCGCTGAATTTAACAGTAACTAAACAGGATCCGTTCATAATAAGTTTGGGTTGTGATGCACAAACCAAAAGCATCGTTGTGTCTCTGGTCAGTGTGATAATTTGACTATGCTTGCTGAAATGTGCTATACAAATAAAATTTGATTGATTGATTGATTGATTGATTGATTGATTGATTGATTGATTGTGCTGATAGCATAGCTCGTTGTTAGCTCCTCTCCTGACGGACTGACAGGAGATCGATGTGTGTGTGCCCTTGCAGACCCTGAACCAGCAGCCATGCCTGTTCACGGTGTGTGTAAGAACATCATGAGCGCTCGGCAGAAGGACCGCGGCTACGGGACGTCGCAGAATCCGGAGCGGTTCCAACAGCAGGACTACCTGCAGCTGAAACAGTTCCTCCAGACCCAAAACAAGCTGTTCAGAGACGAGGCGTTCCCTCCAGACCAGCGCTCCCTGGGCCAGGGCAAGCTGGATCCGGCGCAGCAGGTGCAGTGGCTCAGACCAAGGGTAAGCACAGCAGATCTTCCTACTGGATCTACCGGATCTGTTGAATCTGCTGAATGTGAATCTGCTCAGGCTGACTGACCTCTGGACTCGGCCTCATTGGAGGCTTTTCAGAAAACGCTGGCTGTCTGGAGTTTATGTTTCTTTCCTGCTCCAACATTTAGGAACAGCTGAATGATTTTTTGTCATTTATTTCAGGACATTGTGACCAATCCATTCTTCATCCTCGATGGCGTCTCCAGGTTCGACTTCGGTCAGGGACAAGTTGGTAAGTTGGGTAAAGCAGGTGTCTGCAGGCGTCCGATCCGTTGGTCACCGGCCGTCTTTTCTCAGGAAACTGCTGGTTCCTGGCGTCTCTCGGAGCGCTGACCTTCCACAAAGAGATCTTCGAGCTGATTGTTCCTCTGGACCAGACCTGCCTGGGGAAGGACTACTGTGGGCTGTTTCACTTCAGGGTAAATGACTCCGGGTGCCGTCCTCCAGCTGAATCTTCTCCAGGCCTTCTCAACTGATCTGCTCCAGTCCGTCTGCAGCCCAGCTGGCCTCAGATCAGATACACAAAATTGTTCCACATATGTTGAGATGATAAAATAACGAACTGACAGTGGTGGGAACTTAAGTACATTTATTTTAAGTACAATTTTCGTGTATCTGTACTTTAAGTAGATTTAATAATGGATACTTTCT